AAGCGGCTGCCTGAAGTCCTGCGCTTGCTGGGGCAGAGTATGTAGCAAATTCATATACTATAATTCTGCATTGCTGTGTAATGTATTGCTGGCATTTGTACTCCTTCTTTAGCTGGTTGTATTCTTCATTGCTGTATAATGTATTGCTGAGATTTGATTTCCCTCTACCGTTTGGAGTCAGTGGCAGAACAGGGTCGTAGCGGCGACTGTCATAAAATAGTCTGTATTGTTTTAGAAAAGCCTGTCACATGACACTAAACAAAGGCAGCTGTAATTGCTATCGGTGAGTACTTGAGGAAAGGTATCGGTACTCTTACTTGGTCTGCAGAAAATGCATCTCTACTATATATTCTATTATACGGTCTATATCGCTGCATCTGCTGATAATTCTACTATGAGCTTTTCACCGAATACTGATGCATTTTCTACCATATACTCTATCTGAATTGCCCAGATTAGAACCTTTGTAAATGGACCCTTAGATGAGGCAGACACTTTTAGAGCTCCTTCCCTGCCCTTCCCCTTTCCAGAATAGCCTTTTGCTGCACAACGTAGATGCAATGTCTAACTAGAGATCTGTGTAGACGGTGATAGATCCGCCTTGGATGAACACTATATGTGTGTCACGGGGGTCTTGCCCTGCAACCTCTGTACAGCTCCATCGTCAAGTGGCATTTCATTAAAGCGTCAGCCTTTTAACTGTGGACACATTTCAGCCTCGGCAGATCTGCTAATTATTGACAGTTGGTGAAGAGGAGATGTCACTTTCCTCCCTCCTGTTAAAATGCATCTAATTAGTAATTACTGCTTCCCTGTCATCCTCCTGAAAAAATCCCACCGCACATCGGCTCATTAACCTTTCGCTGCATCTGACTTGTCCTGCCAGCAACATGAGGGCTCTCGCAGGATGAAAACAACAACTTGGGCCGAGTGCCATGGTCCGAGGAACGAGAAATGGGGTCACCTTACGAGGCTGGCAAAGAGATCACTGGGATGGTCAAGTTCAATTGGCAACAAACTGGAAATGATACTTTTGTGGTGGCTGACACAGTGCACAGCGCACTGGCACGTATCACTTCACATGTCAATGTGCCTTGTGTTAGGGCAGCTCATTGATTTGAGTAGGCTGCCTAAAGCACCTAAGGTGCATGCACAATTTTTTTGGAATGCAGGGGACCACACTATATGGTAGTGTGTCACCAACCAACACACATCCATTGGTAAGGTGCATTGGGGTGCCATTAACAATGAATGTCACTGCAACATGCGTGTTTTTGTACTTTTGTACCACGAGTTCATACAACCTAAAAGAGTGTAACCGGGTCTAAAAGTCAATGGCAGTCATAGGAGGACTTAAGTCTTAGGATGGGCATAGTGGCAAAGCCACAACAGTACAGTGGTACCTCTTCCTTCCGCGATTCTGGTCGTGAACCGATTTGGTCGTGAATCGAATCAAACTGTGATCACACCGCGATCTTGACTAGAGGAAGCCATGAACCTGTGTCAGAGCAGGGAAAATGGCTGCGCTTGTGTTCGTCACCTGAAGCGGAGTTCGCTAACGGAGGCAAAATTCTGCCGAACTTCCTGTTCGCGAACTGAATTGTTCGCGAACAGAAGCGTTCGTGAACCGAGGTACCACTGTATATCCAGGCTGATGACTGACTCAACATCTGTACAGATATCTGCTCATTAGAATTAAAGTATATGTGCCACTCTTGGCTACTGCCAACATCTGCCACAAGGAAGGTAAACCTCAGAGGCAGTGAGAGCACATGAGGCAAGGGTGTAAGCGCTCTCTTTAAGCATAGTAATGTGACATCTTAACTTTAGGTCAGCTGCTTTGGGTCTGTCATTTCGGGAGAAGGTCCTTTGGCAACCAAGGCGAAGAGGCCATTGTGCGCCTCCTCTACATAAGCTGGACAGGTCCTGCTCTCTTTTTGCACCCCTTTCTGTGGGTAGGACTGATCTCATGGCAGTGATTTAAAGAGAACAGGCAGAACTTCTCCTTTACATGTTCGTTTATGCAACAAGTAATCAGAGGTTACACAATGCCTTATTACTTCTCCAAAGTTTGACTCTGTACAGTAAGGCACACATGCACATCAATTCAAGAATGCAGATCTTACATACAGTAGGGTGCTTGAGGGGTGGTTAATGTACCTGTGAGGATTCTCAGAGGTGACCTTGCCAAAGGGGGGCCATCCTACAGAGTGGTGCACAGGAATGCACCAGACCAATTAGCTGGCAAGTGTATTTTCCATGGAGGTCCGGGGGTCTCCAAGGGCATCTGGTAGGGTTCCTAAACTATCCCTCCTAGTCAGGAACCTGTCCCTGATGCTAAACCTATTTTTTCTTCACAAGTGGGTACCTGTACTTCCCCCCTCACTGCAGGCCCACCAAAGTAACTCCGGAGGGTCTAAAACTAACCCCTTTGTGTCAAAGATGGACGTACACATCTCGATCCAAGAAGATATAGGCTCTCCCAAGATAATGAGAGAGCCTATATCTGCTCTCCCATTATCCGCACTATAAGAGGTGCCTTGGCGCGGCAGTGCGGCTTACACATCCTTTGCAGAAGACGTGTATCCAAACCTCTGTCATTCTCCTTAGTGGTGAGACAAGTTGTTTTACATGCTGGTTTGTGAGTGTGCCATGATGCCTTTCTACTGTTCCACTGTTCAAAGCCCATTTCGTGTGCACCTTACTGTATAACTGGTAACAAATTGTTGAGTGCGTTTGTCGTTTGTTTTGCTTTAGGTTCTACAGAAAGACGCGGGGTAATAGATGGAGGAGATCTGCAAAACAGAGGGAATAACACTTGTTTTGTTCTTGGACGGGAAGCCAATCCTCGTCAGCGCAGCAGTCTCATTAATTCTTAAATGTTGTTATTAATCATTCCGCTAATCATAAAATCAGTGATGTCCATATGACCTCAGACTGCGGTAATAGAGCCAACACAGACTGCCTGTAATGAGGGAAGAGTACATTTGTACGACATTGAGAGGAAAGAAAAAATAAACTACTGATTGCATCTGGGCACTTGGCATTCCTGGCACGTTTGAGGGAGCTCAGGGCTCCTGGCCACCAAATTCTTGGCGGGCGCTGAGACACAAAGTGAATTCACATGATGTTTCTGGGGAGCTGACACCAACGTTAAAGGGAAATGATGGCTTCTAACAGAGCAAAGCGTGTGCGGCAAGATCGGGTCTCAAAAGGAACCGGACCCTGGTAAAGGTAGCAAGATGGTTCTGATGACCATGACAAATAGTCATCGAGTACAGTGTACTGAATAGCCACCTTACCCTGGAGCACTGAGGACATTTGGTATAAAGCTATATATACACAAATGACATATAAGGACAGTATCAGAGATGATTGGAGGATCTACAGCCGAGTGATACACAAATAAGATACATTTTTGGTAATAGTTAAGGTACTTGAATGCAATTTTAAGATTTAACTCCGGAGTTTACTTTAAATACAAACTGAGTTATCATATTTGTCTACAGAACACATTTAGACCTTGAAGTAGACCTTTCCCTTACAGCAGTACATTTATCTAAACCTGCTGACTTCTCTTTCTGAAAAATCGAGTTGCCTGGCTGTCAGGCTGACTCTCTTGACTGACAATGACCAAGTACTGTATATGCAGGCAGTTTAGTGTAAAGTTCTTCCCTTGCATCCTATAATTAAAACCCATGCGTGTGACGTCTGTATGGTCTACTCCTTATTCACCTTGTTATATATCTGCATTACCCTGGCATTATCTACACAAATATGATGAAAACAAGTTATTGGTGCAGAACATGGTTAATGGGCTTCTGAGACCTCCCGACCTACAACCTAGAGCCCTGCATGGTACATGGGCTTCTGAGACCTTCCAACCTCTAACAGAGTCCTGCACGACCAATAGGCTTCTGAGACCTCCCAACCTGCAACACAGAGCCTTGCATGGTCAATGGACTTCTCAGATATCCTAACCTCTAACGTAGAGTCCTGCATGACCAATGGGCTTCTCAGACCTCCGAACCAATAACACAAAGTCTTGCATGTTCAATGGGCTTCTGAGATCTCCCAACCATTCACACAAAGTCTTGCATGGTCAATGGGCTTCGTAGTTTTATTACAACACAGTATATTACTTCTAGTTTAGATTTTAACTTTTTTTTAATGTATTGCTATCACGTAGGGAGCTAACAAAGTGTGTTTGTCAGGTAATCTTTACGGACACATTAGGGGGTTTATTAGCAGCATCCACAGTGTTCAAGAGCCCTAAAGCATAAAGAGTAGCTACAATGGGGCTTCATAGTGACTCTGCAAGCCAATGTAGCTACCCTTTAGATGGAAATGCATGACACAGAATCTGCATGCCTAATTTTGCAGCGGTGACAGCCTGCACAGAACAAGGAGACAGCTAGAAAGGAAGTATATAATGTATGATGATAGATTTCATCATAACAATAGTTTAATTGCACTTTAAATTAAAGAGAACCAGTCACTTTCTTAAATGTATGCTGTGCACATAGTGATTAATATTTGGACAAATTAATGGGGTTTCCCGTCTTACAAACGCTTAGCTTCATTGCCTGGAAATAAATGTTCGCAGTACAAAGTCTGACTGTCTTAGTTGAGGAACTGAAGGTGTTCAAAGCCCCTTCTACACAAATAAGGCGTGCACAGAAAACCTTGGGGCTTCACCTACATACACATAGCATTAGGTTTGAATACATCAAATTCTGAAACATTTGGGGCAGCTTCTGTTGCCAGGCAACTAAGAACAGGAATGCCATGCAAAAATTAAAACATTTTTAAATTTTTTCCCAAAACCTTGACAGAGGAGGTCAGGTGACAGTCCGCCAAATCATGTGACTAACCTCAGACATCTGTGGAAAGAGACTGATGGCTAGAGGGAGAGCCAGGCCGAAGGCAGCAAGGCACACAAGGCTATGCACTGGGATGACCAGTCTTGGATATGTTCGCAGCAGGGATGTCCTGGAACAGAGAAGAAAGAGAAAACCATGAGGAATGGGAAGATCATGCTGGAACACAACAAGAGGATTAGCAGAAGATGTTCAAGTCAACTCATTAAAAGAAACAAACCCACACACACTCCAAACTATCCTTTCTTATCATGGAGGAACTCTTGAAATAACCATCAGGTCTCACATATTGCTATATCTCCAACCCATGGTACATTAGTGTGGTGGTCAGTGGTAAGAATGATTCTTTTTTTTTTTACTTTCAAATTTTTTTTATTAAGAGTATATAAAAAAATTAACGAAGATTACAGAAGTATCCAAAAGAAATGAACTGCATACAAACAAAAATTATACTCAATATACATATAGAAGTTGAAATCCGGTGTACATATGGAATGTAGAACAGAGGGCATGGGTGGTTGAGATGGGGTACCCAAATTGGAAAAGATGGGCGGTTGAGGCATAAAAATAAGTCAAATGTATAGTGGTAAGAAGAAATAAGTAGGAGCCCTATGACAAATTCTTGTGTACAGTGGGTAACCTGAAAATGTGTACATGATAGTCCAATGTCAGCCCATAACATATACCTTCAAAAAGTACACCAGGATATGTAAAAGAAGCTTGAGGAAAGAAACAGATCGGGAGAGGGGGAAGAGAGAAAAGGAGCGGTAGAAAAAAAAGAAATAGAAAGGAGAGTAAACCGCAGATGGAGGATAAGAGCCATAGGATATGACAAAACAATATGCTAAATGTTAAGTAATCTGCCATCAAAACTAGATGGTAAATAATGCCGAACCCATGGGGACCAGGATTGGTCAAATTTCATCATCGTGTTTTCAAGTTTCGCAGATCTTTTTTCAAGTTCCACCTCCCTTTTAGATTGTAAGCCCTCAGGGGCAGGGCCCTCCTTACCATCTTGTCTTGAATTGTATTGCGATTGTAATGTCTCCCTTATATTGTAAAGTGCTGCACAGAGTGTTGGTGCTATATAAATCCTGGATAATAATAATAGGGGTCATGATCCATGTTATGTAGCGTTTAACTTCAGAGAAATTAAGATTAGGGGATTTCCAGGATTTGGCCAGTTCATGTTTTGCTGCAGAGAGCACAAATAAAAAAAGCTTACGCATGAGCGTAGGGATGGTAGTCAGAATGTAATTGAGGATAGCGGTAAGAATGCTCCTTACATTGGTAGTCAGCGGGAAGAATGCCCCCCCCCCCCACACACACACCTTACAAGACCATTGGTGTCTTGGTGTCAATACTTATTTGAGAGGCAGAGAGTGTTAATTGCTCAAGGTACCCCTAGCAACCCATGGAGGAACCGTAAAGGTCCACAAAATTCTGTTTGTGAAAGGCTGGTCTAGTTTAACAGTTACTAAATGTAAAATCACTACTTGTGTGGAGCCAAGACTAGCTTGTGCTTTCAGAATCCCACAATGCAATACATGGACCTCTATCATCTGCCAAGGTTTGTGCAATGCACTATGGGATGCAGTGGGGGTTGTGCAGTAGCTACCACCTAAAGCCCAGGTGGCCATTTGTGTACTAATTGCTCTCAGGTTCAAGGCTTCCCATTAGGCCTATACAGAGTACCGAGTATTTGGGCAAGTACTCGTACTCGCCCAAATGCTCTGATGCCTTGCCCGATACCCGAACTTCTGGTATCAGGAAGCTGGGCAGAGAGTCATTACAGGCTGCCCGGCTTCCTAATTGGCCGGAAAGCCACCTCCATGTTCCCTCGTCACTTGGTGATGAGGGAGCATGGAGCTGGCTTCCCGGTCAATCAGGAAGTGGGGCAGCGTGTAATGACTCGCTGCCTAGCTTCCTGATTGGTCAGGAAGATGGCCATTCAGGAAGCAAGACGGCAAATCATTGCCCGCCCCCCGGCTTCCTGATTGGCCAGAAAGCTGGCTTCATGCTCCCACATCACCTGGTGACGAGGAAGCATGGAGGCGGCTTCCTTGCTAATCGGAAAGCCAGGTGGCAAGTCATTACACACCTCCCGGCTTCCCGGTTTATTAGGAAGCCAGGTGGCGAGTCATTACACGCCGCCTGGCCTTTCTTAATGGGACTTCTGGTATTGGTATTTGAAAGTACCGAAAAAAATATCAGTACTGATACTCGATACCGAGAAAACGGTATCGGTCCATCCCTACTTCCCATACAGGCAGGGAAAGCTTACTCACAACTATTTTCAACGGTTTAACCAATCTTATCTTCTCCCCTCTAGAGCATGCCCAAGCGTTACCTTTTTTTTTTTTACCTTGTTTATGTAGATTTCATCATTCCCTCTTATTTTACCATCAGGCTTGTGGGGAATCAGTTCCTATGGATGTAGGCATGCCCCCAGATCTACATCTCTCAGGAGCTCTTTTCTCACACACAGGGCAGGCATTTGGAAGTCAATGCAGCTGCATCGACTTGTTGGGAAAAAAATCAAAGTATGCATTTGGAGAGAGATAGAGGGGGATAGATGAAGACAGGGCTGACAATGCTGGTTGGGAGTTTAGCGCAGCAAAGGCACTGTGCTTTCAGCTTAAACTGGAATTTAAGAACTCACTAGATTTCTGGCAGATCAACAATAATTTTTCTGTACTGTTTTTCAAAAAGACAAACACATGTGCAAAGTGCATGTACTGCAGATGTACTTAATATATTTTTTTTACCCTGACATACAATTAACCTATGCATGAACTCCAGATAGCCTAAAGACCTCCTCCATTCAAAGGCAAGTGTCTCTCTATGTGTCAGCCTGATTTGTTACTTTAACTGGGGATGAGGAGGTTTCGGTATTACAATTGTTATACAGGATTTATATAGCGCCAACCAGCGGTGTATTTAGGTTTTGTGCTGCCCTAGGCAAGACAAAAATCGGCATCCCCCCATCTAAATTTGGCCCACCCCTTCCTGTTCAAGGCATTTTGGGTAATCTGTCAAGTTGCTGGATACAGCTTCTGACAGGTTGCGCTATTAGGCCTCAGTCACAAAGCTTAGAGTCGACCCGTAGAGATCCGTTGGACAAGCACGGCCGTATCGTGCCGTTCCCGGGAAGTACAGGTGCTGTGTGTGATTGATGGATTCGGTCTGCGTCCGAGCACCCGCACCTGCATGGATGTGCACGGGCCAACTCTAAGCAGTGTGAATGAGACCTTAGTGTTGTAGGGAAGCCGGGGTCTCAGCTGAGCTGTAAAGGATCTCTGGTGGGCTCTGCAGGGTGTCAGGCTGAGACCGCCAAAGACCCTCTTACCTGCAGCTCTCCAGCGTGCTTCCAGGACATGCCAAAGCATTCTGCTGGAGCCACCCGCAGCCTCAGCCGGACGGGGCCGTGTCTCCCTCTGTCCCATCAGCATCCTGTCTTCCAGCAGCCGCCAAAGCTTCTTGGAGCCGCCCGCAGCCTCCGCCGGTCAGGCTACGTCTCCCCTGGCCCCGGCCACGTCTTCTCTTACACCCGGCAGCTCGCTGCCGGGCCCCACTAGCAGCCACCAGATTAGGCAGCTGATCTTAGGCATTGCCTGATCTTGTGCGCCTGTCGCCAGCTTTCCTCTTTGCAGGGGGGCGGCATTTTTGCAAATGCCTTGTTTGCCTCGCGGTAAATACGCCCCCTGGCACCAACAGTTTGCGCAGTGCTTTACAATATAAGGAAGACATTACAATTACAAAACAAATCAAGATAAGATGGTAAGGAGGGCCCTGCCTGTGAGAGCTTACAATCTAAAAGGGAGGGGCACGTGATACAAGAGGAGGTAGCTGTGTGGGGATGAATTGTTTGAGAACGTGATGGTTGAGTGGTTAGTTTGAGGTGGGATAGGCTTCCCTGAAGAGATGAGTCATAAGGGATCACCTAAAGGCAGACAGAGTGGGAGATAGACGGACAGGTTGGGAAAAAAGAGTTCCAGAGGATGGGAGAGACTCTAGAAAAGTCCTGGAGGCGAGCATGGGAGGAGTTGACGAGGGAGCTGGAAAGCAGGAGGTCTTTGGAAGAGCGGAGGGGCCGGTTAGGATGAAACTTTGAGACAAGGTTGGCGATATAGCCGGGGGCAGAGTTGTGGATGGCTTTTTAAGTGGTTGTTAATATTTTTATGTTATCCTTTGGGCTATTGGAAGTCAGTGACGGAATTGGCTAAGGGGGGTAAGGGATGGAGGCCAGTGGAGGGATTGGTTGAGGGTGGTTGCAGACACTAAGTGGTTGGTTAGGTGGATAAGTCTAGCAGCAGCATTCATGATAGACTGAAGGGGGGATAGCCTGTGTAGAGGTAGACCAATGAGGAGGGAGTTGCAATAGTCAAGACGAGAGATAGCAAGTGAGTAAAGCTATAAAACTGGACATCCGCACAAAAAATCTCATCAGAATATTCGATAATGCCATCAGACACTTGATGAACGTTGTTCATAATCTTGTTTAATTTTAACACTCTATATTGGAATGAAAAGTGTTTCTCGAACAAAAACCACATTCACTGTTTAGACTTTTGTTTGTTTAAAGAAGACATCCCATGGGATACTAGTATGCTAACAGCAAGCCATCATATCTCATGACATTCAGAAGAAATGGGAACAGGGGTTTCAATCATAAGGTCCTGCCAAGTAGATAAAACGGGTCTCATAGAATACAGAAAAGATGACAAGTGTTCCAATCACTTGTGGTACAGCGAAGAACAAGGGCTTTAACTCATGTGATGAGAATGAGGATAGGGATGTCTCCACATGACCTAGAAAAGCAAAAAAAGTAGGTCTTCATCTCATACCCTGCCAAAGAGTCTCATATTTTTGCTGAAGAGAAGTGGAATGGGGTAATTTATGTGATTCAGAACAGGAAGAACAGTTATCCTATGTTGTCTTGCAAAAATTAACAATAGTATGTGGCCCATACAATATCATCATCTCATAACATCTAGAGGAGAAGCAAAGGCCAAATGTTATACTGCCCAGAAGAGATGATGAACAAAGTCTACATCTCATACCATTTTGAAGAGAAGATAAAATCGACTAGCTCCCATACAATGAAGGAGT